AATATATATATATATATATATATATTATTTTTTATCACCACCGCTCAGCGAGGGTGTTTCACGACCTGGATTCTAAAATTTCTGAATGGAAAATAATCAAGCAGAAATTCTAGCAACGACTTCAAAACCTTATCTTACAACAAGTAGGCCTAGGCCTTTAAAAATCTAAAATAATTATGAGAATAAATACTATAGGGATGTGATGGCATGACCTTAATCTTGCCATTGAAACTTATAATTCATAATGGTTAAAAGTGTACGTATAAAATAAACATTTCTTGTTCTGGGTTAAAAACAGTTTTCATTAAAGTGGGCATAACAAGTTGGTTTAAAAAAATAAAATCAATAAAAAGAAGAAGTAATCTATAAATGGAGGAAAAAAGCACTATAAAAAACTATTTGGTGTTAATAGGTTCAACAATAATTTTAAATCAAACGTCAAACTGTAATAAACAAATATGAAACCAAATTGAAAACTCCAACTTATTCCCTTTCATAGGATTTTAGAGGAACATTTGCAGCCATGTCCTATAGAAAATATATTGGTTATCTTATAAATACAAACGCAAAAGCAGAAGTGTTAGGGAGTTCTTTAAGACTGAAGCATTAATTAGAAAAGCTTCAACAATTAATATAGTGTGGTAACTATTGGTATCTATCACTTATCGAAAAATTACAGTGCGAATTGCAAACTATTTACAGCCCATCATTATGCTATGACAGTCATTGTTCTCAACTAGAAAATATTTAAGACTGATAGCAATCTTCCCAGCAGTAGATGCCTCAGGACATTTACCTTAAGGTTAGATTGTGCAATGTTTTGAGAAGTTCAGAAAAACATTGAAGGCTCCATCTCACACTCTACTGGCCTCTATTAGCAGGACAGGGAAATAATAGAATGAACAAATATGGTTTGCTTAACATGGTTGAGGGGAACATAATCCGTGTATCATTCGTTCTTTCTATTTTCAATTGCCAATCAAAAAACAAAAAATAAAAAATTGACTGGTTATTTTGTTTTTTGTTTTTTATGGTTAAACCAAAAACGAAAAAAGGATTATCATTAAAATAATTTGGATACATGATTACAAAGTTGCATCTAAAATAAATGGACTTTTGAGGCACTGTCCTTTGGATATAAGAAGAGTTAAAATCTGGGAGATATAAAGAGCTTGTGGTCATCAAAGGTACAAAAAGAGCCCTATTTGGGGTCAGGGAGTTAAGAGGCTGAGGCCAAAGTATTCAAACAATATTCCAGCTCAAAATGTCAGGCCTGAAAGCTGACATTTTGCCAAAAGCTAAAAAAGGGTCATAAACCGGATAATGATCTCAGTAGGCACAGCAGTCTACCACAGAATGGCTAAATCAGAAAAGAATCAAGGTCTAGTAGCTACCAATTTAAAGTTTAAGTTTGAACCTAATGGAAATTAGGAGAAATTACTTAAAGTTGCATCATCGGAACTAAAAAGGGGAGTTTTTTACAACCCAAGGTAAAACATGCTATTACAGATCTTATTCTATAGAGTTTTGTCTCAGTATGGTTGGTTTCCTTCTAGGGTGGGCACAGTGCCACCAACAGTGCAGCACTGTATGACAGCTGGTATATTTCTATCCAACAGGGTTCGCGAGCGGCATAAATCCAAATGAGAGGAGGCTTGTTCTGGTTGGGAGGACTGGAGTTGGAAAGAGTGCTGCAGGAAACACCATCCTGGGGAGGGAGGCTTTTGAATCTGACCTGTCCCCATCTTCTCTAACTGCAGATTGCCATAAAGCCAGGGGTGTAGTTAATGGTTGGAATGTGGCCGTTATTGACACTCCAGGGTTGTTTGACACAAACTTTACTCAGGATGATGTGTTAAAGAAGATAAAGATGTGCATCTCTCTGTCTGCTCCTGGTCCTCACGCCTTCCTGGTGGTTCTCGAGTTGGGCAGGTTCACCAAGGAGGAGAAGGATACTGTCAAGATGATCCAGGCCACCTTTGGAGAAGAGGCTGAGAGGTACACAATGGTGCTGTTTACTCATGGAGACCAGCTGAAGAATCAGACCATTGAGAACTTTCTTTCTGAGAGTAAAGACCTGATGGCCCTCATTCAAAAGTGCCACAACAGATACCATGTCTTCAACAACGAGGTCAAAGATCCAAAGCAAATCTACCATCTTTTAGACAAGATTGACAAGATGGTAACGGAAAATGGGGGAGGATACTACACCAATGTAATGTTTGAAAGAGCAGAGGCTGCAATCGAGATGGAAAAGGAGCGAATACTCAAGGAAATGGAAGAACAGAAGAAGAGGGAGCTTGAGCAACTCAGAGCCAAATACAATGACAGCGTTTACCGCAAAGAGGAGTCCAAGCTGATTATTCAGTACCAACAGGATGCTCGTGCTCGAGCCGAGAAGTCAAACGCATTCCTTGCTGCACCAACAATCGCTATGGCTACAACCTGCGGGGCTGCCATTGGAGGCGTGCTGGGTGTGATTGGGGGTCCACTCGGAATTGCTGTTGGGATCGCTGCTGGAGCTGCAGTTGGAGCTGCTGCTGGAACTTTGGCAATAACAATTAACAAAAACTGTATTGTGCAATAACACAAGAAGTATTGTAATCTGTTCCTGATTAATGGAAAAGTACTTAGGGTGGTAATCTTTAACAGTTTCCTTACTGTCAACTTCATTCTTTATGGATGAAATGAACATGATTGATGGAGCAAAGATTTATCTGTCTTAATAAATGCTGCATTCTTCTGTATTCCTGCAAGGAAATGGTACAAATATTTTTTTTATCTTTTTTTTATTTACTTGTCTAAAAAGACACTACAATGTGGCCATTGGCGTGCACCGTCTATGCAAATATACTGCTTTATATAATAGTTTTCATATTGTGTATGGGGATTCTTTTACATTTAAATGTAAGGTAAGAAGAAAATGATATTTTGAGCAATAAAATTGTTAAAGTCAATGCTCAATTGAGTAAATCTAAATAACATTCCTTCTTTTTTGGTTGGGAGTTTTGTTACCCAAGTAAAATCTGTTGGTCATTATTTTAGTACCACCTTCCTTTCCATTACTATTGTATACTGAAATTGTTACGTTATATTATTCAGAATAAAGAACAGAAAAAATGCAAATAAAACTCTCTTGTTTTATTCAACAAATAAAAAAAAAAACAACCATCTTTGCATAACCAGTCCCAGATAAACAGAAGACGACAACCAGTCTATGTGTACATTGAAAAACAACGTATGCATTTTTACATTATACATTTGTACCAGACAATCTGAGCAGTCGTCTCAGCATTCTTTCTTCTAAACATGGGATTCAATATGATATTTAATCTAATGTCATGACTGCATTATGTACTTTTAATAATGGCTGTAGTTAAAATTAGTGTTCCTTTATCTACATCTGAAACCAGATATTCACATAAACCACATAAAACACCACATGTGTTTATCTCATTGCCTAGTGTTTAACAAGAGAATGTGTTGCTGTTTAAGGCCTTTACACAATGCCAGAATATTAACTGATTTTCTTTCTAAATTTTCCAACTTTTTAAAAAATTTCATTGAGTATTTTGCGCAACCAACTTTTATATATCTAGTTACAATAAGTGATGGAACCATTAATCTAAATTCACTGACAACAAGTCCGTATCCGTATTGGAGCGATACCATCTTGCTGAGATCTATACTGCTTTAGGTTTTTTGAAGGAGAAAATAAAATAAAAATTGATATCACTGATGTTTTGGAATTTAGGCTTTTACACAGGAATAATCAAGTAAACAGCATATACCAAAGTTGTTGCTGTGTTTGTCTGCAGGATCTAAGAAGAAGTGCAGTGATGACACACTCCGGATTGTTATGCTGGGAAAGACTGGAGGAGGGAAGAGCGCCTCAGGAAACACCATCCTGGGAAAAAATGAGTTCCAGTCGCAAGCATGTCCAACGTCCTGGACACTTGACTGCAAGAGCGCGGATGGGGAGGTGTTGGGCAGAAAAGTCAGGGTAGTTGACACACCAGGGCTGTTCGACACCAACTTCCAGGAGGAAAAAGTTTTGAAGAAGATTGAAAAATGCCTCTCCATGAGTGCTCCGGGTCCTCACGTCTTTCTGATGGTCCTGAAGCTGGGAAGGTTTACCAAGGAAGAGGAAGAAACCATGAAGATAGTTCTGAATAACTTTGGTACAGAAGTTGCTCGATTTTCATTACTGCTGTTCACGCATGGCGACAAACTGAAGAAACAAACTATTGAGCAGTTTATTTCAAAAAGCACAGCCCTTGAAGAGTTTGTCTTGGCTTTCTCTAACAGATATCACGTCTTCAACAACGAAGTGAAAGATGATGAACAAATCCGCCAACTGTTGGAAAAAATTGATGAAATGATTCAGGGGAACGATGGTAGACACTACACTAAAAAGATGTTTAGGAGAGCAAAACAGGCCTCAAAGAGGAGGAAACGGAGAGCATCAAAGGCGCTGAAGAGGGAGGAGCAGCAGAGGAGGAACACGTTGAAGTCTGAGGTGGATAATGAAATGAAGGAACTGGGTCGAACAAAGAAACCCAACAAATGTCGAGTGCAGTGAAAGACTGAGCCATCCTTCTTTTCAGGGCTAAGGTTGTGTGGAGACAGCTTCTGTTACTTCACAGATGTTTTTTTCCTTCTTCCTGAAGTTGCTTTGAGTGTGATGAAGATTCCCTGATTTATTTTTCTTTTTTCCTTGATAATTCTAAATGTGAATGAATTAATGTCAATCATTTCTTTTTGCTTGTGTAATATAAATGAACAGACTGAGGTTAACATAAAGGGGAGCACACAGACAGAATGATCTTTAATCTTTAAGCCTTAGATAACATAAATAAAGAGGTGAATTCTTATTTCCCAGAAAAGATGACAAATTGAAATGGATTATAGAAATGTTTAGATTTGCAGATATATATCACATAGTATTCAGAAAACGTTCAGCCAGAACAAAACACAACTTGTGACCACTGCAAACCACTGTGGTTAACTTAAAAAAAAATATATATAAAAAACTATAAGAATCATAATCAAAGCTTAAGCATTTAATATTCATTTTGAAATAACGGTCTAAGTTTTAATAAAGCATTGGGAATACATTGATATATATGGATTTTTTTTCAACTTCTGTAAGTATATTTCTTTCTGGCTACAATCAAGTTACGGAAATGTTGACGAAATTGACTATACAACGTGTATAAATATATATATTTTTAAATGAACAAACTTATCAAGAACAATCAATCTTAAACCACTATTAACAAATGATCTAATTTAGTCATAATTTCTAGAAAATAAACATGAATCAATGTGTTTAATTTCATTTATTTGTTTTGTGGGATCTTAGATAATTACAGTTTTATTAGGAAGTTTATCCTTTTCAGTGATTCAAATCCAAAAAAAGCATGACATTTATTCTTTCAGAGATATTTTTAAGTGTTTATTTCTTCTAACTTTATGGATTACGGTTAATAGCCAATAAAAACACTTAATGCAGTTATAGAAAATGTGAGTATTGACTAAAACACTGTTTGTAAATGAAAATGTTGCCAAAATAACAAAAAAAATTACTTTATATATACTTGTATACATTCAATGCAAAAACTTGTTTATACTTCTTTTAACTCTGTAACACTTTGAGATCTTGCTGATAAAAAGTGCATTGGAAATCCAATTTATCATTATTTATTATTTCCGTTGCATTTACCAAATACATGAACACAAAGAATGTTGTTCTTCCGTAATTGTTATCTGTTGATATTTCTGATTTTCACATGTCCTTCAAAACACAAGCAACTGAATTAAATACCCTCTCAGTCATTGTAATCAAATCTTTTTCTTCTTTATTTTTGCTGCAAAGCAGATGAAAATTGCTACTCATGAAATTTTATTTTAATAATATGTATATTAAACCTACCTATTCACACCACTCCTATTGCTTGTGCTTTTTTATTATTATTAGCTCACAGACAGATTTAAAAATTTTTAAGTACTCTAGGCTATGCATCAATACGGAGTCAAGGAAAGTCAAGGAAAGTGAAGGAAAGTGAAGGAAAGTGATCAGTGTAAAACATTTAAATTCAACCAAGTATGACTTTACCCATATTAAACAGCATAGTCAGAGTGCTTCACCCATCTGGTAGGAGCAGATGTCTTGGTGTCGTCTACATCTTTTTTCTCCATGATTTTCATAAGCCAAGGTTAGTTTGAGGTGAGATTTCCTCCTGTAGCAGTTTTTTTCCATATGTTTTCTGATCAATTGCTCAGATGTACAAGCATGTTAACAGGATAAAGTCTGGAGAAAGAATGAATGGGCTGCACAGGGTCTCTTTCCATAGCTCCCTGTAAGTGACTTCTACGTTTATTTTTTTTTTATGCATCCTAAAAACATATTCTGTGGATTACTTGTGGAATATTCTACAAAAATGAAAAAAAAAAAAAA